ATAAGCGAGTCTCAAAATGTTGATTTTTTTTCTTATTCTTTGGCGGCTGACCGGCTTTTACTTGCAAAATGTCAGCATGCATATTACTTTCTTCAGCAAGTAATTTCTCCAAGAAGATCCATAAGGTGGGATGAGAACATTGAAAGATAGAACCGATACGACGATGATAAGCCTCCGCAGAATTATTAGTACGCATGGAGGATTGGGTTGTTCGATTGAACATGTTCCAAAAATCAATGTCAAACATAGGTTTTCGTCGTGTATGATTTGGTCGAAGTCTCCCTAAAGAAACATTTACTATTGGAGTAGTTTCAAGACAGAAAGTTTACCTATATAAGTCTCTTCAAAGTAGTCAATCATGTCTTGATACTCATCGTTGAGATTTAAAGATAAACTTTCGAATCCTTTAATTACATCATTTGGTGATAAGAATGCGAGTGCTCCAAATTTGTGGATATTATGCGCAAAAACTGAATCAGTTTGATATTGAGTTTGCCATCCTAATGACTAAATTGAAAGAGATTATGAAAAATACTAATATTTATAATAAGTCATGCATACCTGTAGTTTACGATGAAGATTTTGTTTGAGATGAAAGTAACAGCCGGATAATAGCGCATCTGGAAAAACTGATTGGTAAGCATTGATACAGGCTTTTTCATAGTCAATCATCATTGATTCAGGCGTCCATTCTGGTGCAAATTTAAGGATTTCATTGAATAAGCGTTCATATGTAGATGCATCCTTCCGACGTAGCAAAGCGTAACAAACTGGAGTCACATGATCTCTGTAAACCGCATGTATAATATATAATTGATAAAATACTTCAGGTACGATTTTGAAAGTACCGTCAGACATAAAATGATGAGCAGATTGAAGAATTTCGAGCTGTTCGTCGCTTGCAAATATCAATATTCTGTCATCACCTAAGTAAATAAGAAACAGCAAAAATACAGTTAAGACAACTAATGTGTCGTGGGATATACCTGAACCAGTATCAGATCGTAAGAATTGACTGTCGCGCTGGGTTTTGCATAATGCAAATGGAATTGAAAGAAAGTTTGGATCATTTGGTACAGCTGTATAATCATTCTTTGAACGTATTTTTCTAATTCGTCGTTTTACATTGTCGCGAATAGGCAAACGACTGACTGCTTGATCAGACATACCTACTCGAGGAAAGGTGTATTTACAACATATGAGTTAGAGATAATGACCCTTTACCTTTAATACAATTAGTGATAACTATATCCGGTGGTTCTTGTGTGTTCTTGGCGCGGTCAATAAGTTGTTGATGGAATTTTCGAAGCTCCAATGTTGTACCATCAAATGTGCATGAATGTTCAGTTGGTGGTTTTACAATATTATTAGTTACAATACATGTATGTAAACGAGAACGACAATGTTGTGTTGAGTATCTACTACAACGCCAGTAAATTTTTTCAGTTGTTGATCGGTCTTTCACATAAGAAAAACCATTGTAATCAAGGAGTGGTTTTCTTTTCGTTGTACCAAAAGTGGATATTGTTATCATATTGAACAAATGAAGATGAGTGACACGAAAAATTGTTCTTTTTCTTTTAAATATGATTGTCTCATTTATGGAAAATTAGATTAACAAACACAATTAAATTAAACCTATTACACTGTTTCATTCAAATTAATATATAATCTTATTAACAAATATTTTGATTGATCTTTTAATGGAGATTAGACTGAACTTTTTTTTTATTCGTGCTTAACTTTCTGGTGCTCATCATTCTCGTGCTCATCGTTCCACGTGCTCATCATTCTCGTGCTCATCGTTCCGTGCTCATCGTTCCACGTGCTCATCGTTCCGGTTCCCATTATCTTCTATAGATAATGGAAGTGGTTTATTCATATTAAATAATGTATGTATAATATCAATGATATTAAATCTATTTTCATCTAATCGTGATCATAATCGAACAATAAAAATAAAAATATTATTTATTAATATCAAATAAATCTTAATGTAATTATATGTTTGTTTTATTCGATATATATAATTAACAAATGAAAAAATTTCAAATTGACTTCAATGTCAATGGGAATAATTATTATCATTATTTTTTTATATCAATTGGTTATTGGAAAAGTTTTATTGAAACACAGATGGGAAAACGATGTTTTTTTCAATTGGTTTTAAGATGGT